CCAGCTCGGTGAGGCCTGAGGCTGGACAGGGCTGTGGGGAGCTGGAGACCAGCCCTGCTGTGGCGTTCATGGGGCAGGGGCTGATGGCCCTGGGGGCTGATGTGGGGTCCCGGGCCATGGGGGTGCCCCGGGGGCTGGCCAGGGACAGCTGGGGCTGGTGGTTCCATCAGGGACCTGGCACTTGCATTGGTTCTCAGTCAGCTGTATTTGTAACGGTAGTCATTTTTTGCTTTCATTTTGCCAGTTTATGCAATATTAAGGGGTTGATTTAATTTTTCCTTTGCCTTCTCACTGGAGAACGTAAGTCATACAAAGTGATAGTTTTAAGCAAAAACAAAACCAGAAGCTAATTCTGTCTGAGAAAAAATATGTGAAGACTTGGGTAATTAAATTGGTAGTAGTTAGAATCATAGTTTAATTACAAGTGTAGCTGAAAATGTGTGTTCAGACCAGTTGAAATCAGGAGATTTATAATTTCAGGATATGTTAATTTGTCCTTCCTAAATTTTGCTTCTTTAATGGAGATACATATACCTAAATGAACAGATTAGAAATATCTTTATGAAGAGACTATCACAATGTAAATTGTAAATTTGCAGTTGCAAATTTCTGTACATTTGAATGTATACCTTTCATTCATAAGTGCAATATTTGGAGTTAAATAGTAAAACAATATGAGAATCAAGCAACAAGAAAATTATTCAAACAAGTAATCTGGGGTATGATGGAATATTTAGAAGCAAGCAATATGCTTAAATTTAATTGAAGTAATAAATTCTTAAATAGAAGCAAAGAAATTACTTGTGATGAGTTTATTAAGCTGCTGGTGCTGTGAACTGGTTATGATTCCTTCATAACTTAGTTTCCTGCTTAAACTCAGGCTCGTTCCAGAGACATCGCATTACTTTTATGGGTCCTATTGCTTTGAGGTCAATGGAACTATGTCAGAGGAAAAAGTGGTATCAAAATGCTAAATATTTGCATAAATTTTATATTGCTTACATCGTGCTCTGACTTCACCTTTGGCAAAAAACTATAGCTGTCATTGTAGCCAAGAACATCTGAAACACATAGGTTTGAATGTAAGTTGAAAGAGGGAACTAATAAACAATTTAGCTGCCACTTTATCAGTCTGCAGATGCCCTCAATCCTGAGTTTTGGCTTCTGATTAAAGGCATCTGTCCATGCTTTTGCATCATTTCCTTTTAAAATTCTTATGTGTAATTGTTATTGATTGATTTATTTAATATTACTATGGTTTGGTCTATGTCTGTGAAAATTTCATGGATGCCTCTGCTTTTTCAAGTAATAATTGGGAAGAGGGAAACAGAAAGTTTCAGTAATTGTTGAGACCATTCATTAGAAGGGTTTCTGTACTACAGAGGGTATAAAAACTAATCCTCAAAGCATTCTACCAAAAATAGCAGAAATCTGTAAAGTGAAGATTATTTATTTCATGTGGCATCCAATAGTTGCACATCAGTGACTTAGAAATATATACATTTATCTTTTAACCTTTGGTATGCACAGTTTGCCAGTAAACCCGTTGGGTGCTGTGCTTAACTTGTAATAATTTTGAAGTCACCATGTGTTTACATATACATGAATATGTTGATGGATATATGGGTGGGTTTGGGGGTGAGATCACAAATAGTTCTTAATGCTTTTCAGCAGAATAGGTATTTTTTAATATCTTTTATTTTTATTTATGGAATAGTTATTTGTCTATAGACTTTGTCTCTAGTCACAGTGCAGGAATTTAACATCATCCAAGGCTTTTCCAAAACTCCCAGATATTTAGTAAAAATGAGTCACAGTGTTGAAGCATGTTTTACAAAGGTCCACTAACAGAACAGAAGAAATTAAAGTAGAAATAGGCAATATCAAAAATCCACCCAAAAATATCCAAAGAAAGGATGATGTTTCTATCTTCTTTTTTTTTTGTGCTCCATGTTTCTTCTTTATTTTCATTTTTTCCTCAAATTATTGTTTGACAATAATAATTTCCATTGTTTCCTCAAATTATTGCTTCTGCAATGTGAAGATCTAAAAGGCCTTTTTACAGACAGTAGACAGTTAATGTGTTAATATTGTATGCACTTGACATTTCCGAACTCGTTGCTGGAAAGCATCATGCCAACAGTGACATGGTTTTTAAGCTCCCTCTCCTTCTTTGCTGGTAACTTCAGGATCTTTTGTATATCAGCTTTCAAAACACAGTGAAAATGTGGACTATGAAAAGATTGAAAACTAGATTGGGCAAGTCTCTGAAAAATAGACTATACAAAATATTGTATCGGGAAGAGGATGCAGCAGTGGACAGCTACTAAGAATTAAAATGAACATATACATGTTTTTATATATGTCTATATAGATCATCATACTTCTAAATGTTGTTTCACAAAGATCCTTGGTTCCAAAGTGTTTATAGTCTCTAACACGAAAGAAAGAGAGGATGCATGTAAGCAGTTCACATAAGGGAGATTATATGAATTATGTATGAGGGCAGAATGGGATGGATTTCTGGGAGAAACAGACATTCAGGAAATATGATTTCAAGGAGAATGGAAAGAAAAAGTTCTTGTTAGGATAGAAAAAGGAAACTTTCCCATCTTAAGGGATTTAGTAAATAATAAATTGGAAAGGATAAGAGGGAAGAAAGAAATGATTGGTTGAAGAAGAAGCTGTAAAGACTGCAAAAAGCAAAGACAAGCAGAAAGCAGTTTAGTTGGTGTTTTTAGTTGGTGTTACAAAGCTAACATCTGCCGAAGATTAACACGCAGTATTACATGAAATCGTAATTATCCTCTACAGTTAGAAATTCCTAGAGCAGTGTACAATTAATGCAGAGATTTTTCACAATGGATGTGGTGAAACACTGGCACAGGTTGCCCAGAGAGGTGGTAGATGCCCCATCCCTGGAAAAATTCAAGGTCAGGTTGGATGGGGCTTTGAGCAACCTGATCTGGTTGAAGATGGCCCTGCTTATTGCAGGGAGGTTGGACTAGATCAACTTTAAAGGTCCGTTCCAAACCAAACTATTCTAAGATTCCATGATTCTATCTTTTCAGGGAAAATTACATGAGGAAAAAAAAAATTAACAATTACATAAGGGCTTGAGGGTAAGAGAGGAAACTGAGTTTTATGCAGCGAGTTCTGATCTGAAACAGAGAAGTCAACAGGTCTGGCTACAAGTCAGGTCTCAGATCAAGAAGTCAGTGAAACAGAGTTGACACATTCAGGGTCTGGATGAGCTGGAAGATAGACATGTAAATCACAGTGAAAATAGACAGAAAAATGCTGCATAGCAGTGATTCTGTGGTGGAAGTAGTAAGGACAACTTTAAGTGCATTGAGAACAAGAAAAAGAATAAAGAGTGAGAGCCTAATCATGGGGGAAATGAGGAGAGAAAATTAAAGGTGATCCAGGGGTCATGGTCCTAGAAGTTGAGGAGAATAAAAACCCATTAAAAAAAAGTAACTCAGAGCTAAAACTCACACATTCAAATATGTGAATATCCTTGGGTGCAAGAGGAGGGAATAGGTGGGTGGAAGGAAGCCTATAAGAATATAATAGGTTTTATTAAATGAGAGAAAATAATAATATTTAGTAAGAGACAAGCCATGAAAAGATAATTCTTACCATATGCTTAAATCTTGGAGATCTTAAACCTTGGCTACCTTTAAAAGGGTTTGCTGATGAAGTTGTGTTGATAGTGCATTGTCCACCTGTACATCCTTTGAATGAAGCTAAAGCGTTTACCAGCAAGAAGCTGATTTGACTATCATTTAAATCAATTTCCTAAGTAGAAAAAATATACCAGTAGAAGACTTGTGCTGGTGGAATTGTGATTACAGTGTTGGTTTTGCCTTTTTTAGTTATGTTGCTTGCAAGTATAAAGGCTTTTGAATTTGTATCCCTAGGACAGCTATGCCAACAGAAGTTGTGAGTGTAGGCCATGCCTCATTGGCTTTGAGTGAAGCCGCAGTGCTGATGGAGATTTCCTGACAATTGTCTCTAAATTCATTTTCACCCTTTTAATGGCAGTCATTAAGAGTGAGAGGTAACTATTTGTAGCTGCATCAGCAGAAAAGCAGGTTGATAAAAATCGTAGTTCCTCCTATGTTCTGGGGAGAACTATGCTCTTAATTCCTTTTAAGGAATTTTCTCTGTTCACAAGCAGATGCTTCAATTTATGGTAAAAGGAATAAAGCCCAGATTGCTTTCACAGTCTGCACTTTTATCCCTTGCCAGAAATGAGTCTAGTAGTGTACAAAAGTGAGTAGCAGCCTTGGATTTCATCACCAGGAAGGTAATCACAGATCGGTAGAGTGCATGGCATCTAGCAAGACAGATTCTTTCTTACTGGCTGCTACAGATGTGAAAGTGTGTAGCACCTGAACATTAATCTGATTGCAAAATTCTGGCAAATCGTTCCCCTGCCTGTATAGTTGGGTTGTGTATTACACCCGTGGTTGACAACTACATATTTGTGAAATAGGTTGTATTTGTAACAACCAAAATTAAACTGATCTGTGGGGCCTATGGAATCCTTCAGGGAAAAAGGAAAATCCTGTATTATCCTTAGAAATGAGTCAAAACCTGGTGTGTGAATCAGAATTCAGCTTTGGGCAGCTCCAAGGTTTTGATGTGAGATCCTCTTTTAACAGGCTTTTTGGCTTACACTAGGGGTCTGGCGGTATCTGGCAGACAGTGTTGCCCTTTTCATCTTGCTCTTGTTTGTAGTCCTTTGGGGAAAGGGCTAAAATATTCAGAATATAACCTTTCTAAGCGTTCTTGGTAGCATGTTTGGAAATGTGGAAGGATTATTTGATAGATGGTTTTCAGCATTCTGATGCCCACAGAATCATGGCTAATCTTTCTAATCTTCTTTATCTACAGTAATCTGTATATTCTATCCTCTCTGCATCTATGTATCTTGTGCTGAAACTGCACTGACAGGAAGTTCTAAAACGCCTATTTTTGTTTCTTTCCAACAGCTGGCTGTCCAGACTCCTTGATTAAAGAGCTTCATCACTTCAGGATTCTGGGAGAAGAACAGGTGAGTTAGCATCTCAAAGGCAACCTCTTAATGTCATGAAAGATAGACACTAATGAGACAGTTTCGTCTCTCTCCAGGGAGGCAGAGTGTATCTCATAACCCCCAATGACCTGAAATGTGGGGAAAAAAACACACAAGAGATATATGTGAGGTTTTTTTTTTCATTCTATCCATCAGCCTTGACAGGTTATTAATTGCTACATCTGCTATCTGCCACAGCTTTTTGGCTTTTGACTACAGCAGTAAACAGGCTCTCTCCAAGAGCAGATAGACAAACAATCTGACTAAGGAATTGATACTTAAAGCTACACATGGTATTATCCATCTCTTTTTGTGGCCTTTTCTCTCTTTTTAAAGTGTGTTTCTCATTCATAATTATAGCTCTGCTTTGTACTCAGAAAACTATTTCTGCAGGATTTTAGCAAAGCATAAGTGAAGTATGGATTACAGCACTCACAAGGTGGTCAGAGCTATTATTTTGTGAATAATAAAATTAATGTACAGAGGTATTGAGAAAATGGCCTTAAATTTTGAGTGACAAGTTGTATTTTCAAATGCTCAGTGCTCCTGAATTTCAAGTTGTCTTTGACTCTGAAGTATCTCTCCTAATGAACTGGTTATAAAGCCTAATGGCCTGACATAGAGTTGAAGATACTAGGGACTGAGGGCTTGAAAGCTCAGCATTAGTGTGTTGTACATGAGAATCTCTGCATCTTTTAATGAACCTGGCACCAAGGGACTTGCAGAAGGTTATATGAGGGCTATAAGAGAAGCAAAAGGAACTCCTGAAATGTTAATTCAAAGTCTGGTTTCTTACTTTTTAGATTGGATTATACTGTCAAGAACACCCTGTTACTTCTCCTTTCCCTGTCATTCTCCTTTTTTTTTTATTACAGTTAGGGCTGCTGATACATTTTCTAGACTTCCAGTTTTCCTCTACCAGCCCCCCCCACTTCAGTTGTTATAGAAAGTCAAAGCCCAGTTCCTCAGGGACTCAGCTTTTCCTCAGCAAGAAGACAGAAATGAAAGGGAGTGTGGGAGGGTTTTTCTGACAGGAACAGGGGGAAAAAAGACAGAATGAGGTACTGGAAGCAGGAATCTGGTGAGATCGAGGATTTAGGAAGAGAAAATAAAAGAAATTATGACTAGGATTGATGGGCCCAAGAGGCTGGTTAGAGCCAGCTGAAAAATGGATGTCAGAGTGAGAAGCCTGGGGACACTGGAGAAATGGGACTGGTTGGAGAAAGAGGGTAGGAGTAGAAACCAGAATGGTAGAGATAAAGGTCTGAGAAGGAGCTGGGACAAAGGACAGGAAATCTGCTAGAGAAACTGATAAATAAAGTAAGAGCTGTACTTACTGAGCTGCATGAAGAGGTGAAGCTAAGCACAGTAGGAGTGGGACAAAAGAAGAGATTTGAAGGAAAAGTAGGGAACAGCTAAACCAAGAGACAGTGAGTATGAGAGAGAGGGTTGAACCGGGCAGACTTCAGACTGGCAGAGCTCTGAGAATTGAGTTGTAGACCTCAGCCTTGCTAATGACTGCTGTCATAGCAATAGAATTTAACTGATGGACTTTCTTTTTTTCCTGTTTGGATTTTTGAAAAGGAAGTGGTAGACATAAAAATGAAGAGTTAAGAGTGCAAATGAAGAATTCAGACACTAAGAAATGTCATATTTAAGATTGTTTATGAAATCTTAATACTTTCTTTCTTCCACTTGCCTACCCTTACACCTTTGCACTAAAAGAATGTTGAATTAGATGATCATATACAAACTTCAAAAGTGGGATGATGTAAACCACAAGGAACCATAAAAGAAAAGAGAATGATTTTCTGTCCACCAGTAATAGAAGTCTTGAAAAGAGCAGAGGAGTTTGATAAGGAAAGCCTCTCTCTCTAATCAAATAAAAGCAGTATTTTTGCCACTTGTAATATTTTTGGTATTCTTTCAGACTTTCATAATGAAATTACTCCTCTTTGTATTGAATACACTTAAACAGATGAGAAATTTTCGTCATATTAGGAGCATCAAACTATGCAGATGGAAAGTTGTTTTGCAGAATGGGCCTGACCTATAAACATTTGCCTTTCTCTGAAGCTGGCTATACTGAGAGATTATTTGAATACAATGGTTATCATTACAGTCCTAACTAATGCCTTTCTTTGCAAGAAGTGAACATTGCCATGAGGCTTGAATTATTCTGTAAGTCCATACAAGTATAACAAATATTGCAATTGTATTCTGTCTCTACAAAATCATTGTTATCATAAGTCTACAGATGAACACAGTAGATCTTTCTTGAAGTTGTCACACACATTGACAGTTAGGGAGAAGTTGGTTGAAAACCAAGATAAATGAAGAAAGAAGGGAATTTCAGGCAAAGTCTTTATTCACATGGCTATCTAAGTATTTGTTATATTTCTTTAGTTATATATTTACTTTTTTAAAAGGTATAAAGTGTGTCTTTTTTTCTTTTATCATGCATACTTGATTAAAAAAAATCATAATTAATTATAAAGCTTTTATTCAGACTGCTTACAATATTGGTATTATCAACCAACATATATTTTCTTCCACTCCAAGCAATGGTCAAAGAATAATAGGGGCATGCTACTGCTTTACATCCAATCTTGATTTATTTTTCAAATACTTATGTATTTAAGGACAGATTATAACAGCAGAATGGACTATTGCGCTAATCTGTTCTGATCTCCTTTAGAATACACATTACATGACTTTCTTGTATTAATTCTTGTTTAAACCGGAGTATATTGCCTAGAAAAGCATCCATTCTTTGTTTACAAATCACTTGCAGACATTCAGTCCTGTTATACCTCTCAGTAGTAGAAGACAAAAAATTCACAGCCTCTTCTTTCCATGACTCCACCAGCACCTGCAGGCTCCCTACATCATGTATCTCCTATTCCTCAGTGTCTAGATCCTTTAAATTTCCAGCTCCCTTTGTCCTATCACAAGGCAGTAGGTGATCATCATAAAAAATTACTTCAGTTTATGAATGCATCTCAGAGAAAGCCACCATGCCCCTGAAACAGGACTTTAAAAATGCTTATACAGCAAAATGGAGTCTGTTTGTCAGCCAGACTGTCAACTAAATACATTTAAGACAGAATGAAGGAATCTTTCAGTTTGAAGTGGACATTCCCACTGGAACTTGTGGGTTTCAGTTAAATCAGTGGCTGCCCAATAATATATTTTCCCTTCAAGAGATTTCTATTTATTCACCTAAGAGGTGCCTCAGTGCTTGTGGATAATAGTTCATTCCTAGAAAGATAACTTTACATGGGACTGTGCTGGAAAGTTGTTTGCATAAACCCAGTTTACCAACAGTTCGGATACCTCTGTAGCATGAACTTAACCATCCATGTTACATGTTCATTACTTCCTCTTCTCAAATAGTTACAAGCTTTGTCACTGATGTTCTATGTTCTTGGTTTTCTTCCAAGTCAATGATAAACATTCTAGGTGGCATAAGGCCAAGAGTCAATACCTTCAGGACCTTTTTGGAAAAACACCTGCTTAATAATGATTGCCCATTTACAATTATATTTTAGACGTGCCAGATAGATAAGTTTTCATCCTTTTAATATATGGTATGTTAATTTTGTATCACTCCAGATACTTAATCAAAATGCCAGGCGGCAGCATGACAAATATCTTACAGAAGTCTGCTTCATCAACTCTCTTACTTTTATCAAGCAAATTTCAGTCAAATTAAAATCAAGCAACTATTTCTAATACAAAACCCTGGTATCTAACTTTTGTTCATCAAGTATTTATTTCCTGTAAATGATGACCATATATAATTTTTGTTGATGGCATTAACAAAGAAAGATTTTGAGTAGCTTGCAGGATCAAACGACTTGAAAGCATATGTTTCCCCGTCTATCTGTCTATCCAAATGAAATGTTTCTTTATCTAAGTGTAAGCATTGAAGGAAAACTAATTCTGAGGAAAAAAAAAAAAAAATCACTGTCTTTAACTTGATGCCTGAAGAGCTGCTGATTAATATTTTCTAAAAGGACTTCTATAATAATAATACAGTTGTCCAAATTGTCAAACTTCTTGGTAGTCTCCTGGACATGTAAAATTCCCATGCCTTCTCTTCCTTGTATATTATGGGAAATTCATTCTAGCTGAAAATTCTGTCTTTTAAGGTTTAGTTAGTGGCAACAAATTAGTTTTTAAAGAGATATTTGTTTTTAGAATTTATGGAAAGATGTGATGGTAGTTCTTGTGGTGAAGAAAAAGAGTACACATTTCCCTGGTACATGATATGCATTGTGGATACCTGATTTACCACACAAAACCGGTTTCCAGAGTGATTGGCTGAATGTGTGACACAAATACATTTAGCAACAGATTGCCACCCCTCTTGATACTTGACCCTTTGAGAAGGTGCCAGAGAGTCTGACCTAGAAACGTCTCCAAAAACAGTTTTGCCTGGTTTGTTTTGGACCTTCTTTTCAGAGACTCTCCTGGTGCACAAAGATCTGTACAAGGCAAAGAGAGTGTCATAGAATCATATGGGGTTGGAAGGGACCTCTGGAGATCATCAAGTCCAACCCCCCTCCGCCAGAGCGAGTCTACCTATAGCAGGTTGCACAGGAACTTGTCCAGGTGGGTTTTGAATGTTTCCAAAGAAGGAAACCTCTCTGGGCAGCTTGTTCCAGTGCTGTACCACTCTCACAATAAAGAAGTTCCTCCTCAGGTTTAGGTGGAACTTCTTATACTCAAGTTTGTGCCCATTTCCTCTTGTCCTGTCACTGGGCACCACTTAAAAAAGACCAGCCCTGTCCTCCTGACACCTTCCCTTTAAGTATTTGTAAGAATTGATTAGATCCCCCCTCAGTCTTCTCAAGACTAAAAAGACCCAAGTCTGTCAGCTTCTCCTCGTAGAAGAGATGCTCCAGGCCCTTAATCATCATTATTTCTCCCCAGGTGCAGCACCCTACACTTTCCCGTGTTAAATTTCATTAGGT